TCTTGACTTGGCCTATCTTTGCTGGTCTGTCATCCACTCGCATCTTCTCTTTCTCCCACACGCCTCCTCTCACTTTACTCTTGTTGAAATTGTCTAGCCTCTCTAGAACATCTTGAACACCCCGGTCCCCAGAGAGATTACAGTGGTTGTCTCTGCCAAGTATACTTCAGGTAGGCACTGCACTACTTGAGTTTTCTCTCTCGGCGGCGCCTTACCCCCCTGCCACCTCAATTCAAATCAAGGCCCAATCATTCACGGGCCATATCATCATTTACAGGCGAAACACACAACGCACTTGCTCAGACCAAAGACCAAAAGGGACACTCTCTTTCATCAACCCGAAGCTGATCAAATCAAGGCAACGCAGCACAGCACAGCACAGGCCTACAGCTGTAGGCCTAGCCGATCGCAAAAAAGGGACAATCGGAGGCCCGCCGTACTCGTACTGAAAAATCCTCCCAGAGCCAAGTCCGCGCAACTTCTTCCGCGCCCGCTGTGAGATTTCTAAGCTTGAACGAGGGTCCAATTCTTGTTGCAGCTTCTCAGCTCAGCACATTCTCACTCCTACAGTCTGTCCGACTACAATCCCCAGACAATCTCCCACACCCCGTTTGGTGCACCGTCCACCGAGGCCATCTCAGCTCTCGTCCCACTCGTCACGCTCACTACTGGCCGCTTGTCGATTCTTTGCTGCTTCTCATTACCTATCGCAAGTTGACGCACGAGACGCCGCTGTACATCCCCCCTGGTACGCCATCCTGCCGCCTACGCCACGATTTAGGCCCTGTCGCTCGTTGATTCTACGGCTGGCTGTCACTATCACTGCCGTCTTCTCGCCCACCGACGCCTCGCTGGCCTCGTTCCCATTCGATAGCTTCCTTCTCCCGAGCCGCTACATGCACAATTGAGCTGCGCTATCGTCTTTGATCCTCGTCCCATCCTCGTCGCCCGCATTGCTACTCACACTTTGAGCTTATCCTTGCTTAGGCAGGTACTTCCATCAGTCCCGATCTTGTTGTGTTGTGGTACCCAATATACGCCCCAAGACTACGGGTCCGTCGTTAGAAACCGCTCCGCTACACCCTCAGACTGGACCAGGCCACTATTCCACATTAGGACCCGCCAGACATTATGGCGCCTGTATCGCCCCGGCTCAAGATTCTATCAGGTTTGTCGTCTCTTCTCTTACGATTCTCCTTCATCCCTAGGGCTAGTCCACGCAGAAACCAGAGGTGGACGGTCGCGTCATTTCAGATCAACTGGTCCCTCCCAATCCTTCATCAGTTGACACAATCCCTCCTGATCTTTCTGTCTCTTATTTACCTTTCACTCGTTTGTCTTGAAATCCTCACGTCAACCGTCAGGACGGTTGCTCGTGCAGCGTCCCACTCTTGTCGCTCATCATGGCCAACATCGAGCTAATGTCAGTTTGTTCAGTGGGAGGCAATCCTGTCTCGGCGTTCTTATCATGGAGGCTTCAGGCAACCAATGCGTGCGATGTGACGCTCGTTTGGAAGTCTGGTTACGAGCATGTGGCACAGTACGGTATTTCGTTCAAGTATGTGAACCAATGCGCTCCGACTTCAACAACATGCTGATTATCATTCAAGATCCCCGATATTTGGCAATGAGAGGTTCAAGCCTCGACATGGTACAGTACAACAATTCCCTTGCTTCCGTCCAGCATGCTGAGATAACATTTGAAGTTGTTCGAAACCCCGAGGATGCCGCGAGCGCTCGAGACGGCCCTTTCGATTATGTCGTACTCTGCGTCAAGGCGTTACCCGATGTTTACGATCTCGCCTCAGTCATTGACTCGGTCGTGACCCCCCAGCATACATGCATCATCGTCAACACAACGCATACTCTCGGAGTCGAAGCTGCTTTGGAGGAGCGATTTCCTACCAATGTGGTCCTATCACTCGTTTCAGGTGCTGAGCTCACACAACTCGGTCAGAGTGAATTTGAACACAAGGGCCCAGCAGACATTTGGATTGGTCCTGCTAACAACCCGAACAATATCCCACAAACCATCCAGGAGGACATGGCACAGGCCTTAGCAATGACACTTAGCTCTGGTCAAGTGGAATGCAAAGTCTCGCCAAATATCCGCCAGCAGCAATACGAGAGAGTGATAGGGTTTGTCTTTCACCTAACCGCCTTGAACTCAACTAACTGATGTTGCAGTCCTATTGCGTTCCATCCGATTAGCGTTATCTTCGAAACTCCCAACCATGCCTCGTTGTTGGAAAAGGTTGGCGTTAGGGACATGGTATCGGATGTCATTGACGAGTTGCTTCGTCTAGCTGATGCCAATGGATGCAAATTTGAACCCGATTTCAAGCAGAAGACGATCGACGAGATGTCCAAAGCTTCCGGAGAGAGCATAATGTGGCAGGATTACGTTGCTCGAAGACCTATGGAGGTTGAGACGTACCTAGGCTCGCCCGTCAAATTGGCCAGAGACTCGAATATCGCCCTTCCTCGTATCGAGACACTTTACTCAATTCTTCATAACCTTAACCTGGTCAACCGCAACAGACCCAAGCCTGGCGACCCGAACGCGAATATCATACCACCCGCCTCTCCCTCCGCGGCACCTGTGCCCCGAATGCCTTCTCAAAACAGCCATCGACCCATGATGAACGGTATGCCCAATGGAAACGGTATGCCCCCTCGCCAGCCCAGACCTCGGAACTCTTCCAACTTCAGCCAAGGTGGTATGCGCCGTGGACCACCCCCGATGAACGGTGGACCACCCAATGGTTATGGGCGACCTCCGATGAATGGTCCCGGATCTCGCCAACCTTCAAGAAGAGGCTCATTAGAGGAGACTAACCTGGAGGAATTCTCTCATCTTGTTCTTTATGACGATATACCTGAAGGTTCCGAGCCATCCGTCAGTGGTGACCCAGCAGACATTAACCTCAGAGAACGAGAGTTGGCTTTACGGCAGCGTGAAATGGCAATTCGTGAGCAAGAAATTCGAATGCGCCGTGGACCGCCTCCTGGCCCTCCCGGAGGCACTGGACCCCGTCGTGGACCCCATCCTATGCGCAACAGCAAGCAAGTGTTTGACGAAGATGATGATGACGACGACGATTACGTTGACCCTACTGCCAACCCTGGTCCTCCGCTGATCGACCCAGACAACTTCGATATGATGAGCGTAACATCGAGAAAAAACCGAAAGGCTCCGGGACCAAGCCCTGGCCAGTTTCGCCGTAATCCCGATGACATGCCGCCTCCTACACGGGGCGGCCGTTTCAGGCCCAACTTCGGCCGCAATCGATCTTCCCAAGTCGGTCACAGCTCCATGACATCTGAAAACATCCTTGAAGACCCTCTCATGAGCTGCTCCTCGGATCGCTATGGATCCGTTGACCGTGGAGCGATGAACGCAGGCTCTCGAGCAAACTCACTAACAGCATCAAGGCTTGACGACATGCAGTACGGCCCAGGTCCTGGGGGACCTCCCGGGATGAATGGTGCTTATCCCCGGCGCGCCAGCCAGTCTCCCGGGAACCCTTATACTCCATCTATGCGAGGCGGCAGCCGACGGGGATCGCCCCCCGGTGGTTACGGTCCAGGTCCGGGCATGAATGGGCGACCATCACCCCCGGATGGTGTTCGCCAACCTGTCCCTCGACACCCACCTGGTCATGGTAATTCAGTAGCACCACAACAAGTTGAACAACATATTGGGGTGAGCGCCCTCCACCAAACTAAGCCTAGGAATGTTCGCAGTCTGACGGGTAGTGCGAGCGCCAGCGCGGGCAGTGGTGAATTTGATTCCGAACAGTCTGCAAACAGCAGTCAGGGTAGCTTGCCTCCACGACCGCCGATCGGTGTGCGTTAGGACGCTCTACACGGCGATAATATTCAACGGAGTACCTAGAACGTCAGGTTCCAACTCACGGTCCCATACATGACGTCTATCCAACAAGGCTTTGATATTCTTGTTTTCGCAGTTATGGAGTTCCGGACATGCTTTCTGCATCGCTTGAACAGGATCATTCATTTATCCTGTCGCGAAGCCTGGTTGAGGCCATGTGTACTACATCTATGCATCTGGCTTGAACAACTATACGACACACCTCGGCGAGGACGACCCTATTTCATTTTGTTTTTATTATACGCCCGAGTTCCATCGAAAACACGAAACGACACGACAAAAGTCAGAGTCACTTTGGACTATTCTCAGACGCGACGTCTTTTTAATTATTCCTATCGACACATACATACATTGAACAGCCAAACAGAAGTAGGCTATCCTTGGTAATAATGCATTGGAATTGGGGATGATATACTGGTGCTTTTTAGCATATAATCGGTTCTCAATTCTTCAAGGCTCTGTTCATGAGACGCCCGAGTCTTGGTTCTGCTTCAACATATTGGGACAGCCTCGTGCAAGGAAGAGATTTTCGAGAGAGAACGCTAAGCCCGTCTCGCAGAAGACAGGTTGTGACTAAATAATGAACGTGCTGGTAGAAAACGAGGAAGTGGGTGGGTAAGATCAAAGGCTTTACACCAGCTAAGCAAGTCTTTGTTTTTCCTTTGATTGTTGAAGCGCCCTCCAGAAGTTTGCGTGGACATGTCATGAGAGGTCAAATGGACTTAGCAAATGAGGAGGGATCATGGTAGGCATTGTTTTTCTTGGCGGGGTTACACAATCAAATTAGACTACGGATGGTTATTTCTTTTCTGGTTAAATCTGTTCATCGCGAGACGTTGTGGAATGTGAAAAGGAAAGTCGTCCACGAGGTTGGAAGAATTCCTATTGGAAATATACATAGATACGAAATAGTAGTATGGACGAGAAAAGCGATGAAATAATGGCCAAGGATTTCCGCATTACGTTTGAAAACCCATTGATAATATAAGCCGAACCAAGTTCAATAACTACCTACCTAAAGTACAAGCAAGATGCGACCTGGCAGTCAACAATATGCCCACTTCTCTTGGCATCCCGGCAGAGAGGCACTTTACTATTGTATAACTCAATAGACCAACAACAGCGAAGCCATCAAAGCTGAGAAAACAGCCATAGGTACATAGCCAGTTGTTCTTGTGCCAGCGTTAGGATCCTCACTGCCTCTGGTGATATTCCTGGTGCGCAAGCACAACAGCGAGGGCTGTAAAACATCGTCCAGGCTATATGTGTCGGGGTCACGACGACCCCAGTTGATCATTACAGTCCAAACACCACGCACGGCATAGTCATATGCCTCCTCCTGGGTCATTGCATTGTATCTTCCAACTGTTTGTGGACGTTGGCTAATCAAAGTCTTTCCCTTTTCAAATTGGCTCAGATTCGCCCCAGCTGTATCACGGGTCAGTATTCTTTCACTTGGATAGTTTGTGAAGCTAGACTTACGAGCTCCACCATACGTTGGACCGTAGTCTTTGTAATACTTTTCGCATTTTACTGGCATATGTGGCAGCATTGTGCACTCCTCGCCATTCCAGTAATACCCAGCTGCTTCTGCGTTCAAGGCCTTTAGGCAATCTTCGTCAAGGAACGAACTGCAGTCTCCATCGTCGTGTTGTGCATCGTCAGTTGCTCCATCCTTCAGACGACTGGGTCCCCAGAAAGCAACACAGACATACCAGTCTGAAGAGTTCGTACGGCTGCTATTCAACGTTGGAACCCTCATTCCCTCTGGTGCTTGAACACTGATGTCAATGCCCGGATAAGGTGTATCGTCCTCAGGGTCATCCGTGATATTGGCTACCCGGATGGTAGCCCTCCAGCCATCAACGGTCTTGTTGGGCGGGAATCTTTCCGATACGTTATACGCCTCAAATTTATATGTCCCAGTTGCGTTGGGTTTCTCGAAGGCAGATTGCCATTCTTGCTCGCTCATATTACCTGGGCTTCCATTCGTCCCATATCGACCATCAAATGCAATGGCTGCGGAGATCAAAGCAGTGAGTGGCAGAGCAGCTTTCATATTTGAAGACGGCGGCAAAGATGATATAACTAATTTGGTCTCAATTAAGCTTAAAGTCAACTTAGTCTGCTTGTGGGGTTGTTGTTGTCTTGATATAGATAGTATTTCGATCTGCGCTTGTCTCCAGAAGGATTTATCTAGTCGACACTCGGCCTTGGCTACCAGAATCCTAATAGGTCCAGACTACACAACGGCTAGATATCTGGTCATTTGCGTACAGTTGGCAAACCACGATCCTCTGATCTACAGTCAACTCCTTCGCGCCGTAGCCAAGTCGCGCTGAGCAAATCCTTGTTGGCAGTTATGACGTCGCAGGAACAAAAGAAGCAGGGTATTGAACCAGTGGAGATACACCTGAAAGGAACATATTTGGGGGCCTTTTGTCGATCATAATGCTCTTCTAGGCTGCTAGGCAGACAGTATTCGCTCCTTGGTGTAAAAATCCCTGAATTGTTAGCATTCAGTTGTCAGCCCAAAGTCAACAAGGCTGAAAGGCGCCCTTTCCCTGATCCGAGATATAATTCATCACTACCTGTAGGTAGGTAGGATATTCACCAGATCCATGTTTGCACCGGAACGCCATGCGAGAAGAAAAGACCAGAGTTAAATTGATAAGAGCAGCTGAACAATGATTTCAGTGTCGGTCCATGAATAGATAAGCTGTTGTTTGAACGTTGAAACAGACTGCTGTATAAATGTTGCCGAACCAATCAATGATTGTCGAACGCACGGGCCATTTTACCACTAGTATGGATTGTAAACAAACCCCAGGTAGGTTCCGTACCCTCCCAACCTTGAATACCTACAGGTAGTTTAGATAAGGTAAGCATAATTGCATTTCCAGAAGACTGCCTCGAATACACAAACATACAACAAAAGAAGCCGTTGGCCCTTTTCTTACTTACCCCTGGGTATTCCTTCCTCTGAGTTCAGGAGGAGGCCGGTGATCCTCGACTTACAAGAGAAGCATCTCGTCTTCACCCATTCGCAAGTGGGTGTTATAAATTCACGACAAATAATTATCACATCCTACAACGCTATGGCGACGCGAAACGTGAGCGGGTCACAGGTGCGACAGAGCATGGCCACCACTGGAAGTGCTGTCAAGACACGACAACTCGTGAGTTCCCTCAGCCCTTATACATGACTATGATCGTTGTCAACTCCCTTATCGTGTGACTTTATGGACTCAGGTTGCAGAACTGTCCTGTTTCTAAATGAAAATGACGTTTGCTAATAATCTCTTGATTAACCTAGGCACAACTAAACTCCCAACTCGCACAGTTGTCATCAAATCTCTCCGATACCGAGAACTTGCTACGTATGACAAGTGTCCAAGCGGAAGCTATGCGTGGACTTGGTAGTTGGCATGGTGGTTTGTAAGTTTTTCGATTCGGTCGTGGTGGTGGTGATATAAGGAAATGGTGTCGCTGACTTGATGGATAGGTTCATGGCAGCAAGCAAGGTCTTAGGAGAGGAAAGTGTCAAAGAAGCTGGGCAGCCAGGAAAGTAAGAATCGAATAGTCAATCTGGAAGAGGCGGCAAAGCGATATTCCAACAAAGGATGGAGAAAATGCGGCGGGAGTTATGTTCTATTAGACGTATCGAAAGCCGCTATTGTTAAAAAGAAATCCTCTCAGCAAGGGATTATGCTTCCAGCTTGACTGATATGCAGTCAAGCTTGGTGAAAGTATAGCATCTGATATGTGTTACGACGTCCTCTGGTGCTCCCGGCCATATTCTCAAGGCCGTGCAGCTTCCCCAAAGCCGTAGTCTATTGCCTATCGTCAGCATGAAAGTATGCTATGAAAGGATGACAACCTCCTGCTAGAAAGCTTTGGACTGCAATAAAGATAACGAAGAACACATATGTTTGAGCGCAACGAAAATAACGCTGCTTTGGTGCTCAACCATGTTGTAAACCAAGACTCAGGCAGCCTTCTCAGTCTCTGGCTCAATGTGAGTTCTCTGGACACAACTCAAGCTAGGCTTGGTCTTTGAGGGCGATATCGGTCTATTGGGTGCGTGAACGACCTTAACTTTCTTTTGTCATTCTTCAAGGTCCTGGCGTCTGGCCTGGTGTCGGGCTGGGCGTTTCGTGTGGTGTGGTTTGGGCGGTTGCCCCCTGTACCTTCGATTCATTGCTGCTATGTTCTGTGCCTTCTTCATGATCAAGCTTGCGCAAGTTCTTCCGCTTTTGTCTCGGGGCACTGACTGGGTATCTCTTGACATTACCACAAGTCTTGCAGTTGATGTTTAAAATATCTGCCCATGGCTTTCGCCCTCCTTTACTCGCATTCTCCACGGTTGATGTACAGGTGTCGCCCTCGACTAGTAGAGTGTCACAAAACTTGCAAATAGTTTGCTTCATAGCCGGACTCCGCCGTATTTGTGCTTTGAGAGTCACAGCTCGCAGGTCTGAAATGGCCTGACGAGATATGTTCCTCAGTGCTTTTTCCTCGGTTCTTGTTTGAGGACAAATACTGTGCTCATGGCTTGCGGTTGAGGATTTTGCTGCAGCATTCTGCCCGGTTGAGGATTGTTTAGTAAGATATGAGGCTGCTTGGTAGAGGTACGATGCTCTGGAGTAGATGATGCGGTTCTGGACGCCTTTTGGTTCCTTGCCTTTCGCCATTGAAATTTCCGAAAAATTGAGGAATTTTGCTGGTTATCTTATAAAAGTGAAGTGCTTCATAATCTTAATTCTTAGTTGTATGCTATAACCAGTGCATAGCAATGTCTAGCACTGCCTAGAGCTCTATCACGTGATGAACGGTGCGCACGGGCCTCTCTGGCCAGCAGCGACCTTGCTTGCTCCCGCCTGCTTCTGGCACCTCCCTTCTCAGCCTCAACAAAGACTCTTTCAAGTCATCCTTGGAACGAGTATCTTGGTTCCCGACACATTCCCCCCATTTTACATCTCAAATAACATTTGATCCTGGTTCTATCACCTTGACGGCACGCCTGCGCCGCGTTTTCGATACTTTACGGCGACGCGACTCGAACGTAATCGCGTCAGACTCGTCATCGCAACTTCGCTGCAAAGAACAGCTTCTGCGATAGCTTCCGCAGCAACCATCTAACTATTGGTAAATCTCGATCAATATGTCTCACGAGGAAGATCTCATCGATTACTCCGATGAGGAGATCGGTGGTAACGAAACCGCTGCTACCACCTCCAACGGCAAGAAGGGCGAGCTTGCTGCCGGCAACAATGTCGACAAGAAGGGCAGCTACGTCGGCATTCACTCCACCGGTTTCCGCGATTTTCTTTTGAAGGCTGAGTTAATTCGCGCCATCGGCGACTGCGGTTTCGAACATCCATCGGAGGGTCAGTCTTGATATTTTAATACCCTAAGTCATCATATCCCCTCCCTTCAAGCGTTCGTCCATCTCGCAAGCAAGAACAAATGGCCACTTTTTTGCGCAATCGTCATTTTCGTCATCATCGGGGCGGTCAAGGCTGGATCTGAGAGACGGTCCGAGTATCCGGGCGGAATAAGACCACGGGTGAAAGACGTGGTTCTCCGCAAAACCACAACATTATTGTCACGATTATCACGCGTAAGCGGATAATATGTCAATCGTTGTCGCGAACGGATTCTTCTGGTATATACGAGGGCAAAACAAGGAAAACGCGAGACACCAAGAAACTTCTTGGTGCTCTTAGGCTATGATTGCTTGTGCAACCATCCGGCCTGTGAGCCCTAACCTCGCGTCGATATCAAACTCTTGCAAATACATTTCAATGGAAAATGCGAGAATACAATGGCTAAGCTGCGACGATGGACGGACACTTGACATTACACCCGTCGTTCGTTGCTTCTTAGAAACCCACTCTAACATCGGTTCGATCGACAGTTCAACAAACCTGTATCCCTCAGGCACTCCTCGGTGGTGATATCATCTGCCAGGCCAAGTCTGGTCTAGGAAAGACAGCTGTCTTCGTTCTCGCTACCCTTCAGCAGGTCGAGCCTGTGAACGGAGAGGTCTCCGTCGTTGTTATGTGCCACACCCGAGAGCTGGCTTACCAGATCCGTGACGAGTACAACCGCTTCAGCAAGTACATGCCCGACATCAAGACCGGTGTGTTCTATGGTGGAACTCCCATCAAGACCGACATGGAGACACTGAAGAATAAGGACACCTGCCCTCACATCATTGTGGGTACTCCTGGACGTCTTAAGGCTCTCGTTCGTGACAAGGCCCTACGTCTGGGCAGTGTTCGCATCTTCGTGCTTGATGAGTGTGACAAGATGCTTGATCAGCCTGGTGAGTCTCGCTCATGCAACCAATAACTAGCGTAGGCTAATGGCTTCAGATATGCGTACGGACGTGCAAGATGTGTTCCGCGCTACTCCTCCTCAGAAGCAGGTTATGATGTTCTCGGCCACCCTGTCCGAGGAGGTCAAGCCAATTTGCCGAAAGTTCATGCAGAACCCGACCGAGCACTACGTCGACGAGGACACCAAGCTCACTCTTCACGGTCTTCAGCAGTTCTATATCAAGCTGGAAGAAAAGGAGAAGAATCGCAAGCTCAACGAGCTCTTGGATGAACTCCAGTTCAACCAGGTCATTATTTTCGTTCGTAGCACTGTTCGTGCCACTGAGCTTGACAAGCTCCTCAGGGAGTGTAACTTCCCTTCCATCGCCGTCCACTCTGGCGTCAGTCAGGAAGAACGGTGAGTTACCCAGTCATAACGCTTGCGCCTGTTTCTAACATAAACTAGCATTCGTCGCTACAAGGAGTTCAAGGAGTTCAAGAAGAGAATCTGCGTTGCTACCGATGTCTTTGGACGAGGTATTGATATTGAGCGTATCAACCTCGCCATCAACTACGATTTGTCCAATGATGCCAGCTCCTACCTGCACCGTGTCGGTCGTGCTGGACGATTCGGTACCAAGGGATTGGCCATCTCCTTCGTCAGCACCGACCAAGACCAAGAGGTACTTAAGGAGATCGAGAAGCGATTCGAAGTCGCCCTTCCGTATGTTGCTTCCCTTCTCTTCATTTTTCCAACGACTAACAATTTCCAGTGAATTCCCCAAGGAAGGTGTCGATGCCAGTACTTATATGGCCTCTTAAAGGACCGGATGAGACTGTGGTTCCTACTGCAACGATGGTGAACGTTTTACGCCGCTGTAGGCCGCTGGTGAGAAGCTAGGAAATCGATATTGAAAGACTGAGGCGGCGAAGGGCAAAAGTTGCAAACCATTTCATCTTGGTCAATTGTTATCGTTAATGTTTTCAATGGATTCGTATTACGATACTCGTGTTTTATAAACAGCCTAGGCTGTTCCCTAAGTGAGAAGTGTGACATTTCCCCTCTATTGCCACCTGACGACTTGCAAACTTAGCTAGACTGTAGGTCTCGCGTAACTACCATGCCTTGAGGTTGGCTCGCCTGCTTTGACTTACATAGTATGACTTCACGACGGTGGTTAGGTGGTTCGACTCATCTTCATAGCTTGGCAGTGTTTGTGACTAAATTAAGACTTGTCGAGAACATTTTTCTTGTCTGAGATATGATGCCTCTTGTCGGCGTAAATGAGTTCAGCCAATATACAATATAGTTTAGATGTCACTTCCAATTACAGCGCTGATACGTAGAATGAAGGGGGAGTGCAGCATGGTACACGTGGCGTATATTGATGGCTAGCTATGGCAACTTCTTCGCTACAGTCGTAATCATCGTACCATGAATCACATATTCTCGTTGACTTTCAACCTTCCCGTGGTATTTACAATGATGGGGATACGGGCCGCAAACTCAGTAGCTGTCCTGTCGGCACTTATTTCCCCACGGGTTGATAGCAGAGACATGCTGTCCTTGCGACAACTTAACTGGTTCGGCGATATGTCTAGGAGACTCAACTTGTTGCCGTCATATTCGAGATCATTCAACCATAACTACTTTCCCGGTAGACCTCTTGGTAAGACCAGCGGCTCAGCTTATCTTGCGGGGTATAATGTGATCCCCTTGTATGTGTTCGGCTACAGTGTGTACCTCAAGTGCCCAGAGAACATTCGACAGATTTCGATAAGGCTCCCATTTCCTAGTCACCCTTGAGCATTTAAGCTTGTCATTAAGTTCGTGGCTTAACAATAAGCGATATCGGCTTCCGGAGGTAACTCAGTTCAGGCGTGTCTTGGCTTCTCGAACAATGCCTCTGGGCATGATCCAGTATTCACGATTCGGCACCGCAAAGTACGATGACACTTGCCTCATTAACTTTGATTAGCAGGCCAAAGCACTTCTGATTTGATATGTACAGCGTGTGGCCAGGACATGCTGCAGGGCCAGGGCAGGTTGGGGACAAGACAGAGCTAGGCAGCCACGTTCTCAAGCATGGAACTTGTCTGTTTAAGCGCGCTCGAAATCTGACGGTGAAGGAGTTGAGTACATGGGCCAGGGGTCTTGTTCAAAGTCCTTTAGAACAAAGAGGGCTGAGAGGAAATGTGTTCTTCGGCTACTGACTACCGAACATGTTGACAGCTTAGAATACGTAGGCTATGATAATACTTCGCAAAGTACCGCATGATCGCAACCATACACTGCCATACATACATAGTAAAGGTAATTTCTTACATACATTTGGAAGATGGGAGTTTCCGTGGAGCGGCCGGGGCCCCGAAGTTGCCGGACTGGGGGCCGGAATGTGGGGTGGAAGCTTGGCAAAGGGTTCACTGAATGAGGGCTTGGTAAGTGGGTGGTACTGGCTGGTTGAGACCGAGGACAACGTGAACACAGAAAGTGACTGTATTCGGTAAATCCCATCGTTTTCTGCGAACCCTGGGGTCCCGTGAAGGGCTTCTTTCTGCGGTGCGTCATGACATCTGTACTCAGCCATCCAACCGAAGCTGAGGTCAAGGTGGCGGTGCAACCTACACGCACCATGAACCACTTCGCCTTACACAATAATAGAAGAGTGTTGTGGAGCAAGCTATCCACCATCGCTAAGCTAGGCTTTCAATGTGCTTGCATAGGCAATCCAGCCGTGCTAAACCAAAGGACTCGTTTTTGTCTAGGGTAGGGCAGCTCAAGTTTCATGTAACGTGACTCAGATATATATAGCAGCTCATGATGAAGTATGATAGCTGCGCCAGTCTCACAAAGCGTTGGTGGTCTCAAGAGACAACGCAGTACATCTTTGGAATTCTTGAACCTACTATGGCTGGTACTGTGGTGTCCCTTTGGTATATTGAAAGAACAGGACTGGCATCACTGAGTCACATCAATGGGCCAACCACAACATACATGGATAAGGAAAGTGGAGTTTCGGCCGTCGAGAGTTTGCAACTTCATCAACACCCAGAAAACGTGGGAAGGATGCGTTGAGATAATTGTACAGTGATCACGTTACAAGCGGGAGCACGATACTGGTGGCGTGTCCTGGTTGATTCTTAGTGATGTTATGTGATAGAATGCTCGAAAGTTCAATAACTATTGCAATGCATGAACAGGTTACCTGAGAACAATGAGCCATGTCCATGCCCTCCCGGATCTGTTAAGGATCCGGCGACCGAACGGGTCCCGTTTCTGAACCGAGGACGAGGAACCCTGCTGAGGTAATGATTTGTACAACCTGGATGATGCGTAATAAGAAGAACAACACAATATGCTAGTGGAGCATGGTACGGCGGACCATAGAGCATGGTACGTGCGATTTCAGGTCGGGACTTCTGGCAAATAACAAAGAAATTGGAACATGTTAAGGGGCTGGTAGCGCGCCGCCACTTGGTGGGCGCACGAGCCAGGCGAAGGAGCATTCATCATGTCCAAGAACACCGAGTGCGTAATGGAGAAAGGGTCGCGTTTCACCATTAGCAGATAGATACACACAGAGGAGAAGAAGTACCCGAAGAAAAAAAAGAAGCTCACGCTCACGATGTGCATCTGACGAGGAGTTGTGCAAGCACATGTGGGACCAGAGTCATGATGGCGGTGTCTGTAATCAGCCTTCTCATGATGGACTCGAATGAGGAGAACACCAGCCATTACACAGATGGAACGAGAGAGAGTTTCGAGGTAGCACACATGGTGAGAGTATTATCATAAAGAAGCCAGTAATTTCGATGACCAAGCTCATCAAACTTAGCTTGTTGAGATGATCGAGTCAACTACTCGGTCAATCTCTCAAACGACCGTAGCCCAACAGGGCTTGGTGAACCAAGGTTGACACAAACAGAAGGGCAGCATTCTCCATGAACACCGAATTGGCGAATGTATGATTGTGTCAACGCAAATGTGTCTTTGCACTGCATGATAACGTTTGAGGCTTGTGGTCTTGCAGCGGGCAACAAACCGAGTCACAGAGTCACGATATTGAAGTTGGATCACTACTAAAGCCAATTATTTGAGGCATAAGCATCCACCTAATAATATACTAACTCAGTGCTTGGCTGACTGCATCGGAACTGTTCAAAGGAGTGAGGTCATTGTGGGATGGCCGGGTTCCCCATAGATTGTCGGATTAACAAAAGTCGAGAGACAATGGCGAGACCTTCCAGATCATGTGTAAGGATGAGGGGAACAGGAGCCTTGGATTGCCTGTGACAAATACCAGACACGGCAGAGGCCAGAGGCGACACCGGACTTGAACATGCGCTCAATGGCTGTGATGCTTTATTAGGGACTAGAACGTTATAATTTGTCAATCCCGTAAATGCCTCTCGTTCCGGTAGGCGTGCCACAGCATTTTAGTGGTAAGATTCATAGACGTTTTTATATTGACGCTGCACGTAAACAGGCAGTCAAGTTTTGAAGAAGATATCTTGAGGATGTTAGATTGCTCAGGGTTGTTGTAAAATGCTTCCCTTCTTTGGTCATGGATTCTATTGAACAACAGACTTTATATTCCGAGGCGAGACAAGTCCAGGCCAACAATCATCATCGATACCATTGATCTCCCCTGATTTATGTGAGGCAGGCTTCTTTCCATTGTAAAGGAAGCTACAGTGATACAGCGCAGTTTCGAAATGCTGAGTGGACCATAAACGGGGACATCTTGGCGACAAGTATAGTCCATGCATGGTATTGATTAAATGAGAACCGAACAACCCCTCTCTTGGCCAGATTGTAACCATCATCATGAAATGTACCAGATTTACCATGAAGCGGCGGCGGACAAGACGGAGGTGTGCACTATCAAGAGCTGAAGAGAAGAGTCATTGCACACCACGAGCCAAGTTTTTGAGTGCTATTCTCCCCCCCAAAAAGGCAAAGGGTTGAAGCGAAGCACTCTGTGAAGGTTCAGGTCAGTACCATTTAATTTGGCACCATGGCCAGTATTTAATAGCGGTTTGGTGCTTCTTAGGAAAGCTTGAGGTTTCCCATGATCTGCATATCTCTGAAATGAGTGTTGACTAAATGATGTACTATGGTATAAAGCTAAGAGTTCAGAAGCATATCAGTGGCATCTGTGTAACAACTGACCCCAGGAAATGATGACGAGAACCTAAAACGAGGATGGATTCTTCAATCTCGAGCACAGGCAGTGTCGACAACTCAGTCAAGAGTCAAAGAACCAGAAAGGGTTGGGACGGTGACCAGGGTGGTCGGGACGGCAGGGATACGCGAGACGCACGAACCTGGCTGGCGTGCTAACCAAGTGAAGTGTTCAAAGATGAAGTGAGTCAAATCGAAGTCGTTGGTCATCGTCACGTAGCTCGATTACCCATGTAGCTACATAACAATAACCTGACGAAAGCTGCAGCAGAACACAGCACCATTATTGACAAGGCTCCATTCGAGTTCATGATGATTGCATAAAAGAAGATCTTGAGGCTTTGAGGTACTGATATCATTAAGGCCCATCTAACAGATAAGGACTAAGGTAGGCATCAATACAGCAGGCGTCTCAAAGTTAGCGATGAATCACGCATAGCAATAAGTCAACCTCATCCTTTCCTCACCGTACAGAGCTTTCGATGTCAGGGAAACAGAAATCCGTGGATGCCTTGGGGCCTTGATCAAGACTTCAAGTCCGGGAGGTGGAGGTGGATGGCGCCGTGCAAAGGGTGGATGGTGGAGGGGAAGACACGCGCTGTTAAATATCAAGGACCAATAAGGGGACGCCAAAAGGCAGACACGCTTTTAGGCCCATCGTGGAAGGCCACGAATGTACAGAATGCGCGATCTATACACAGTATTGCACGGAGCTGGAAAAGAGGGGCTACTCGTTGTCCAGTGTGAGGTGGCAGGGCAAGATTAAGCAGCCCATTGACTGGCTAAAGCGCCTACAAGGGCTCAGTTGTACAGTGCGCATACCTCTCACAGACACTTCTGTCAGGTACAGTACCTCACGCGCTGGCCAATCTTGCAGCGCGCCGTAGGTACCGACGCTCAACTCGCCTCTCCTCCTGGTCTTGCTCACGCTTTCGTTCTCCCAGGCATTCAAAACTATGCCATAGCCCGCTGCTGCCATCTCCCGCCTTTTCCCCCTCCCCCCATCGAACAGCATCATCGCCATAATGTTCGATTTCGTCCTCTGAATCCGTCCCCAAGCGACTCTCTGAAGTCTGCTCTGGAATCGTGTACATCTCCACTCTCCACGGCGTCTTGTCTTCATCTTTGTTGTTGTTTTTTATCTTGGTAATCTCCTCTCAAAAACCTGTTCCAACCTTACTCAAACCGTACCACCTCTCAGTCAGGCCGCAGCGGCATTCATTTGCACTCTGCGACTTTTCACTCAGACTCACTCGCTCTCTTTGCCGCCTGACGCTGCAAAGAGTCACACTTTGGCCTTGCCTACAAATTCCAGCACAGCACTGCCTGGGTCCAGCCCAGCCGAGTCCAGCCCAGCCAAGCCCAGCCGAGCCCAAGCCTAAAAGGTCATCCACTCGAGGGACCAACCTTGCCTCCCCCGGCCTTCGCCCGCACCCGTCCCATACTCTCTAGCCAAGGATTATTGCCTTCTATCAGTGAGGTGATTTCACGGAGAAGTGTCCTGTCTGCCACTCGAGTCACTCTTCGTGTCAGTCTCCGGACTCGCTGTATTGCTCACTTGCCCGTGGCCTCTATCACCATCCCATCCCATCCCATTTCCACTCTCACTCATCTATCATCATTTCCTTCCTGTTCGATTCACTTGCTTCAACCGCTTCCTTTGCCCCCCTGTTACTGTTTCTTTGACTCTATTTTTTGTCACCTGTACATTTTCCCGTTCACTGTCATTCCCCTGCCAGGCTGCAACCCGCTATCAGTTCCTTCGCCACACTCACTGTGACGAACCTACTGTTAGTCATCCTTGTACCAAGCCAGGCACAGGCTACCATTGCGCACACACTCTAAAACGCTCTCTCCGAGATCGCCAGTTGGCTTACACCTGCCACACGCCCCCGCCGCTTTTGCTCAGAATTGCCACCGTGCAAAACCAGAAGAGTCACATCCCACCACGCAGGCTGCCACCAACTCAACGCCTCACTCGCCCCTTAGGCCACTTAAGCAAGAGTCACCCTCTTTCGGCCATCTAATAAACACTTCACCACCTCTTTCAGGTCATCTCATCTTCAGCCACACCTTCAACAACAGTACCTTGCATAATCAACTAACGCCGACTTGATCTCTATTAATTCTCAACCGCCGAAATCGATTTCCACTGTTCGATCGCCCTGATGGTAGCCTTGTTCTAAGACTGCCATTCGCTTTTAACCTCACTCCGAGATTTGAAGCATTGCCGCAATGCCTGCTGAAAAAACATATCTTATTCCTGTCGCCGTCTCCGCTTCGTCCTCCGGTCTCATCGTTTGTGTCATCAAGTCGCTTTTGCACTTTATTGTCTAGAAGCTCTCTGAAAACACAACCAAGGATACACCTCGAAGCAGCACTTACACGCGCTGTTACGGAGTATCGCTACTCGATTTTGACCCGCGAATTTATCGGCAAACCACGATCTGATTGGTGGCTTAGCCGTAGACGGCGACTGGACAACCCCCTGAATTGAATGCAGTTCAGGATCTTTTTATTCAACTATTCAACATGATGTGCGACACAACCGTTTCGCCCGCTTATAACCCCTCCTCCCATTATGCACCCTACAACACCTCAATAGCTTCTTCCGCTTCGACTTCTACTACTTCTGTTTGGTCCGACACCACCTCTCAGATTTCCGACGACTCCTCTCTTTCCGCCCACTCTTCCGACTCTGACTCTTGCGATTCTTATTTTTCGAGAAAGGCCGCCGTTGCTGATAGCAGTCTCAACTTACGGCGTCGCGTTCAAAAGACACAGACGGAGGCACTCCCCACCGAATTGCGCCAGAACCCACGAAGAACTTCGAATGCTCGCGCCGCGTGCCCTCCGGCCCTGGTCCGACAGTCTGACCGAAAAGTTAACTTTGTAGATAGCCTCGTCGGTATGTTATGACTGGATTGTGATTACTTGTCCAAACGCTTAGCCTTTACCCTTCTAGATTCGTCGACACAGATCGTAGAAGCCATTTGGCCTCTTTCTTCTGTCGCCTGCCGAAATGAGCTTGGAAGCAGGGCAATTCTTCCTCTGCGCACATTCATTCAAGAGACTTTGCGCCGGTCACGAACAAGCTACTCGACTTTGCAAGTTGCTCTCTATTATTTAATTCTCATTAAGCCCCATGTGCCGAAACACAACTTCACCATGGAACAACCCGAGGACCGACATGCCGACCGCGCCCTTCAGTGCGGTCGTCGCATGTTCCTCGCGGCTCTGATCCTTGCCTCAAAGTATCTTCAGGATAGAAACTATTCTGCTCGGGCCTGGAGCAAGATTTCGGGGCTTCACACTCAAGAGATCAATCAGAACGAAATTGCTTTCCTCCACGCAGTCAATTGGAAGATGCATATTGTTGATGAGGTCTTCCAGCGATGGACCGACATAGTTCTCAAGTACACGCCTCCTCCATCCGGCCCTCCTTCTCCTGGAAGTGTATCCCAGATTGTGTCCCAGCAGGTCGCAGATTGGAAACGAATCATCTTGGGTCTGAATCCCGAGTTGACGAATCTCGCAACATTGATTCCTGCCACTCCTGCTATTCCTAGGTCAAGTGATCTTTGTGCTCTGTCTCCTCGCAGCATTCTCAACATGCCCCATCAAGCTCAGGTTTCATGTGGCTATGAATCTGCGGAGGCGACGCCAACGCCCAAGCCCTACAGTACTCCTATGGCCATGGAACCAGCGGCTGTAGGATACACCTCTGGCCGCGCGGCCCCTAGCCTAGGTATGCTGCCAACTCCTCGACTTACCCCTCAAAGCAGTGGACTCTGCACTCCTGCAGCGAGTGCCGCTTCCCACATGCTCAACAAGTCTTCTGCTATGGGTTTGGCCATGGCTCAAGCCAACAATTTGAATACCTCTCAGTATCTCGATCGTCTTCCTGCCGCTATGACATCGTCCCCTCAAGCTTATTGCCCTACTCGTCGATCTTCTCTCGCCACTTCAGTGTCAACAGCCTCCTCACCCGAATCGATGATTTCAGACTCGTCGCGCTCCTCGCGCTCTTCTTCCATCTCATCTTCTTCATCGCTTGTTAGCGCGACCCTCAGTTCTTCCAGGCTGGGTATGCCGTCGCGATTCCGAGCGTCGAAGTCATGCAATGAGAGATTGAGCCAGAAGCCGACAATCCCTTCGGTTCCAGAGGATTATGATGTGCACTGCGATACGTCCTCCCCTGAGTCTTACACCGGCCCGGTTGGTAAGCTCGTGGACCTGTCTCTGGATACTCCATTGGCGAGACGGCAGCAGGAGCTTGACGATATGGCTCGCGATTCTGATGCTGCCCGAGCTTTGCAGGAGCTTCATAATTATCGCGCAGCTGAGGTTGTGCCGGCAACAGTCCCTAGAAGTGGCACGAAGCGAAGCAGAACCGCCTCCATGGACAACTGTCTCCAGGAGAACGTTCGTGAGATCCTTGGTGGTCGTTATTCTACCCAGCATTCTGCCTGGCCTGATACGTTGGTTCGCACTCGAGGCATTACCTCCGAGTCGAATTTCCAGATCCCCGTCCGTCCTACCTTGCCTGGTACCGGTAAGCGAGTTTGCTGCTCTGCCGAAGCGGCTCAGGGCTACGAAGTTTCGTCTGTCCACCCTGCCATCGGCCTTCGGGGACCTGGTTTGTTGAGGGGTATCCTTAACTAAACCCACCACACGTTGGTAACGATATTCTCTGTTTCCAACTTGATACCCTGTCGACTATAGAGAAGCTATATACGACTTCAAAGTCAAGAAATAATGTTGAATCAAGAAAATTTTCTTTGTTGAGCATACTGATGTGGTGGATGGAAGAAATGGAGTTTTTTGCTAAAAGGCCTTTGATACCATAGATTTGGGAGATCATTGATATGCTGTGGAAGCATCTTGCTGTTCTCTCGACTCTGGGCCGAAAAGCGTGTTCATTTGCCTACATATCTGGGATGGGCTATTGAGAAGGAGTGATGGCGGCGACTATTTGTTTACAAGGAGCCGTTCGGTGGTGAAGAGTACAATTCTTGTATGACTAGGACGACGCTGCTTTGGTTTGTACTTGTTGTTCTTATATGGCTTTACTTCGTTTGTTGCCAGGGTCTCAGAAGTGGACTTAACGGCACTGAAAAGTATAGCACGATAAAGAGGAGAGAAGAGAAGTTCAAGGGAGGTAATAGGTTTGATTTGCTATCAAAACCGAGCAGACAAACCCGGTCACCCAAGAATAACGACCCCGGCGTCAAAGAAGGAATCTGCAAGGTAATCGGTTTTGCATCAACTGGAGTTCAATTTGCCTTTTTTCTGCAATCAAGACACCCAAAGACCGCATTATGTCTTCGGAAACAGCCAAAGCTTGAATCCACTCGACCTCGTCAAAGGCAGACTTTGGGAACTCAATGGCAAACAAACCAATCGATTTCGGAAGCGGACTCGAGCAAAAGAGTCCCAAGAATGATCTGAATTGAGGAGAGCGATGACGCTATGGCGAAATCTAATAGCTAGCTTGAAACAGTCCTCGCGATAGTGGACTCGTGGCAGTCATTTCCATTCCCTTATGGAACCAATTTTCGGATAGGAGAAGGACGCACGAGCAAAGCAAGACAAGCACGAAATCAAAAGCATTATGCTGGATCACTAAATTTCCTCCGCTGACCCCCTACACGCAACTGAAGCGAACCCCTCACCATTCGTGACTATGTGATGCGCCAGAATCGAAGTTGAACGAACATCTGCATGCCGATCCGAACTATTGAAGCCTGAGGAAGCTCGAATAGTAAGATTCGAGAACCGCAGTAGATAAGGCACGATCTTTACCATTAATAAGCGACACCTGCAGATTGTGTTTAATTCATTTCAAGTTGTCTGATCGGGTTCATAACCGAATCGCAGACGCACTACCACGCAGTGCACTCTAGAGAATTCCTTCATTCGGAACTTCCAGGAAAGCCCTCAACCACGGCCGTAAAATCCCGGAATCGCGTGGTTTATTGGACATGGTGTGCTCACGGTGTGAGTCATCTCCCAATTCGCTTGGCACAGACTTGACAGTATGTTACCTTACCTCTCCTTTTCCTCGAATTCTTTGTCCTAAGTACCCGAGAATGATCTGAATTGGGCGTCAGTGGCAACATCACCAAGTTATGTGTGTGTGGGTTTTGCAGGACTGGGTTTTCGTTGGTAGCGCTACGCGAACATCGTGAAGTTTAGTGTTACGAATGAGAAAGGTCGTTGGCTGAGGTGGAGATGAAAGAAGTCTTTCACAGACAAAACGAGCTTGAGGTAAGTTTGCGATGAATTGAGTATTGTTGAGTTTAGGGTGTTGATGTACGTGATATTCTGCACGTGTTGTTGCCTTGCCCTTCATTTCTTATTCATGGTGTTGAGACTTGCACGACGTTTCGACCTTTTTACAATAACTCAACTATATCAAGTCTGGTGACATTCTGTGACAAGGTATCCATCCCGGTTACTCTAGGGATGCCTATAAACTTCTACACCAATATACTTCTGATCATCATGAACTTGATTCCTTTTTTTGAGGTGTGACGCCTGCGTGACCGCCAGGTCGGACGAGCCTCAGGGGTCTCGGGGTTTTATGCAGGTGACATGATGCATGGTGAGCCATTATGAGTTCACATGAGTCCTGCTGAGCCCTAATGCGACAAAGTTCACTGCCATCGTGCTCTAACCCTAATGTTAGCTGAAGCCAACAAGGCTGTCATATATGTCGGCGAGCTGAATGTGGTAGCCCGAAGCGACAGTGCTTACCCAATCTTTCTGTGAATGCAGACTTGGAGATGAAGTATACAGCCGGGAGGCAGTGATGTATTTTTGGCTAAGAAAGAAGACCCCTGGCAGCTATTTCGGCGAGCTTGGAGTGCTAAAGCCGTCGTGAAACATCCCAATCGTCCCATAAACTTGTCGAAGTATCTCTTTTGAGATGACACTGTCAGCACCCCATTTAAGCCGTTGATCAATGCGTCTTCTTTGTTCCCTGGCAATATCTCTCGGTAGACCCTGACACAGTGCAGTGAGATCGATCAAATTTGTGATGAAGACATTGGGCTCCGGTGCGTCGATAAATGCATTGCGAAGACAGTCCAGCTGAATCTCCCACGACGCATCGTGCTCTTCCAGACCATAGACTAAACCACCCCTTCGAAGCCAGAACAGGAGGCGTAGGTTCTTCTCGTCCCATGGACCGGTGATGAGGATCGTAGGTATGCGTATCCTTGGATGAACATCACAGCCACCCCATGATCCCACACGTTCGAAAGGTTTCCAGGACAGAACCTCCTGATAGTCAGCTTCAAAACACTCCTGTGAGTTGAAGTGCCCCACACCGCCTTCGAAATGATGGCTGTGACCATAAATAAAGGGGTCACCGTCATCATCCAACCGAGGAAGATAGTGACGGTAATGTTGGTCTCTGGCGTATTTGTCTACCCAGGTTTGTTGCGCCTGGAGAATGAATTCTGCAGTGATCCAAGGTAGGGTTAATATGGTTGACTGAAATCAATAACATTAGATTTTCATGAACGCTCTCAAGTCTGATGGTGTTGACAAACCTGGAGTTGCCAATTACCAGCCACGTGGTTCTTATCTATAACCACAGATTTCTCAGGATCTCCAAACGATTGTTCCCAAGTATCTTGGAAAGCCCATATGATAAACCTGATGAGAGTAGCCCGTCCGGATAGCTTTGATCCTATAATCGGTGCGGACCGGGGGAGGGCAACATTGGCGCTGTAGAGAAATATACTCTCCAAGATTTCAGCCGGAAGAGCTTGGAGAGCCGGCCTCCAACGCGTAGATCGAGAGGCGAGGACGTTTGATAGTGAGCGCTTCATCTTCTTCGAAGGACCGATTCTGTCGTCAGGTATAGATGTGGTAGTTTGCCAAGGGGATGGTTTGCCCCTCGATGGAAAATTTCGCTTGCCTCGTATGCGTATAGGAGTAAGGCTCATGGCGTAAATTGTTCAGGAGTTGAGAGTCTGAAGTTGAAGAAACAGATTCGAGGACGAGAGTGTTGATATGGATGAGCCTAGTCGACGTAGGATTACTTGAGGCCGATATGAGCTTTAGAGAATGACATATAGCCCAAGTTGCCAACCCAAATACACTTTCCCTCGAGAGAAAAAAAAACATCGGCCGTTGACCATTGATGTGCTGGTTCTAAAAGTGTCAACTTATGAGAAAGTTTAGTTGGCAGAACATTTTGCAAGAGAAAAAAATGCCATCTATTGAAGATTTAATGAGCCATTTGGAGGCAAGGTGGAGGCGTGAATTCAAACCTAAAGAGAGTCAAATTTAATAATTTATTCGATAGAGACAAGAGTTATTCAAGTTTATCACATCTACGCAGGTACTAGAGAAAAATATCTACGGGCTGTGCAATTGTTGTAAAACCACCCTCTCCTAATGTGTTGACGTCCATCCTGAATGGATGGCCCGTGCACCACCCGAGATCCGCCAGAACCAGTGGCTTGGTCCCGATGACTAAGGCGTTTTCGTGACATCGACTTTTCTTGATATCAACGATAAGAGCCTGTCTTCAAGAAGAGACGCCGCATCATATCCAATACCAATGTCGACGTAATACGGACTCCCAGTGATGCAGTCAGCCCTGTGTCTTCCGGTTCCGTCACGAAACCTCCTGCGATTCCTTCGGTGTCAGTCCAAGAGGGCTTTCTCAAACGCAAATCATGGCCGAAACTCGATGACCACATCAGTACTATGTTGTCGCGCACGAACATTGGATACTCTTACGACGCGGAAACAATCCACAACTTTGGGAACGACATGCCAGAGAACAGTAACAGTACTGAAGCCAACCCTCTTCCATAGAGATGCCACCGCACGGAAACTTCAAGATCGTCATCAGCCTTGGACGTCCCAACGCTGCTTCAGCACCAGTCGAGGTGCGTGCAAGTTGTTCAAGGGCCAAGACCCGAGTCCAGATAGCCCACCGACATGGGACAGGTTATTCAAATTTGCAGGAAGGAAGGATGATAAAACTTTGAAGCCAGACGATCTCCCAAACCATGACGAATATTCCGACGGCTCGTCAATCTTTAACAACCGGCGAACACTCGCGGCCAAAGCTGCATCCGAGCCCCGATTGCGATGTACGGAAGTTGACGAGCATGGGAACGTAATTCTTGTTGATGGAGAATTCAAGAAGACTGAGCTTATTGCCAAGGTACGGGCGTCTCGGCCACAAGGAAGATTTTAAAAAATATAAAAACTGACAATGGATGTTTTCAAGTTCGGCTTGTTACCTCGAGATTTGCGAAAGATCGACTCGTCAAACTTGCCTCATATCCTTATTCGCCCTTCGGCCATTTTGCTAAACCTACTCCATCTCAAGGTCCTGATCAAACATGACCGAGTGCTTCTATTCGATATATACGGCTCAAAGACATCATACCCCCAATCGGCCTTCATGTACGACTTACAGGGTAAACTACAACAGAAAAACACACAAGCATCAGGTGCTCTACCATATGAGTTCCGAGCATTGGAAGCGGTGTTGACCTCAGTGACGTCTGAACTTGAAGCCGATTTCGAGGCGGTGCGGGAGCCTGTCATGCATATTCTTAGCGAGCTGGAGGACGATATTGATCGAAGCAAGCTCAGAATGCTCCTCATTCTATCCAAGCGAGTGAGCACCTTCGAGCAAAAGGCAAAGTTGGTCCGGGATGCCATCGAAGACCTCCTTGAAGCAGACGATGATCTTTCCGCCATGTACTTGACGGAGAAAACACATGATCTTTACAGGGGAGAGGACGACCATACAGAAGTAGAGATGCTTTTGGAGTCTTACCACAAGCTGACTGACGAAATCGTGCAAGAAGCCGGCAACCTTGTCTCTGGCATCCGAAACACGGAGGAAATGTAAGGAACACCCTTACCCTTGACTTAATGCTGATCATATCACTCACTCACAAATGTAGCGTTCGTGCAATTCTGGACGCCAATCGAAACGCTCTCATGTTGCTTGATCTCAAATTCAGCGTTGGAACACTAGGCCTGGCCATGGGAACGTTCCTTGCTGGTCTCTACGGCATGAACCTGGAGAACTTCATCGAGGAGACGAACTGGGGTTTCGCTGGCGTCACTGGTGTCTCAGTCGTCTTTTCGCTTATCGTATGCTGGTATGGCCTAACCAAGCTGCGCCGCGTGCAGCGCATCAAGATGATGGATGACGAGCGACCGCGGATCCCCCGCGGGCAGGCCTATTTTCCCGATGATCGCTCGGCGCTGGGGCTCCTCGATAACAGGAACCGCGAGATGTTGCGACGAATCAACATGCAGAAGGCCGTATCGCAGAAGAAGAAGTGGTTTTGATGATTTTGCGTTCACACAGACATATGTTGTTGCAAAATTAGATTCCCTGGCTCAGTGGCACAAATTCAGCCACGTGTATAAACTAGATATTTCTGGAAACTACTAGATACCTACTCATCTCAATGAGGTTGGAGTTGAAGCGAAAGATACCCAAATGCGGACAGCACACACATCATGACAGGTATCACCCACCGTGAAAAGGCTGCAATCTCGGACCGTAATGGCACCCTGCAAATATGACGACCATGAGACTACCAGAACAAGGCCAAGGAGCTTCATCCATGTTGTCCATCTTGGGGTCTCGATCGTCGTGGTGACACCAATGCCCTATCGATTGATCTCATCATGACAATGTGACGTCAGAAACCATTCCTTTTTAGCCCTCCATGAGACCTCGTTTAATCAAAGCCTGGTCCTGGTCATGGGCGGGCGGCTGGCTGCTGCTGGATTGAAATTAAGGTGTGTGTTGCAATCTGCAGGCAGGCAAGGGAGGGACGAGGAAATCAGTGGAGTCATTTTGCAGGGAATCGTCTCGAATAGTTGATTGCACTGACGTCGAATGTAACCTCAAACAAACCCGCAACGGGCTACAGCGGCAATAAGACATGAGAGGCCTTGTTTTCTTGGTGGACTAGCCACATCAAGAACGTCATCATGATGCTACAGCCAATCAATGATGACCTGTCATATAGCCACAGCCGTTGTGTGGCTGGTGGCTGGGCCATGAGGGGGATCGGAGATCGCAACTGACGTCAGGAAATAACATGACGAAGGAAAATTGCAGAAGGCACGGTTCAAGAAAAAAAACCATGCAGCAGGTACGATGGCCAAAACAACTGACCTCAGATATATAAGGATGTGACCTGGAAGAACTTTTACTCCTTCAGCACCAACTTCAGACCAACAACAAAATCTCAGTCTTATCTAAGACCTCTACAATCACAACCCCAGAACAAATACACAAATCACCTATAACACCTACAACACCTTTCAAGAATCCAAAATGGGCGGTGTTATGTCTTGTGTAAGTCACGCCCCCTAGACTCTCCCCTCTAGGAGAAACACATGATATTGGCCTATACACCAAAATCAACCGATCTACCACCAAACCCAGTTCTTCTCCCTCCTCTGCCTCTGTTTTCGTCTCCTTTCTCCCTACTCAGCCTCTCTTTGAACGATTTCACTAACAAGGCCCTCCAACAGATCCGGTCATGCCTTCAGACCATTGGTGACTTAGTGATGGCAATTATCGGAGGAATCGGCCGAATCTTGACGGCAATCGTAAACGGCATCGTCCGGCTATGCGGGATCCTTGTCAGTTTCTTAACCTGTGGCTATTGTGGTTCTAAAGGTGGTCGAACAAAGCGCCGGGGACACTCTCACATGAGGACGACGAGAGTTTAGACGATGAAACATCAGGGCGAACTTCTTTGTGATACCAATTTGATAAAGGATAGGGGAGGGGGAGAGCTTTGTCAGTTTGCAGAAGAGTCTGGCACAGCCGTTTGTGGTTTCTTTTGTGATTTCTTTTATGTTCATCTGTCAGCATTAGGATACCCAATCCTTACGATTCTCTGCAAATACTTTGATCATGTTTAGATGTCGTTAGTGCACAGTTTAAAATTCACTGGTGATACAACTTCACTTTGACTGCTGATTGTGACGACGGTGTTGGTTAGAAAAAATATCTTGTTTGACATTTCAGTGCATTCAATGAATATATCCTGATTCACTCTCGTTGTATGAATCTACCACTTCGAGATTGGCTTTGTACTAATCGTCTTCTTCCATGACGTTGCGGTTAAAAAATCCATGAATCTGTCGCCCAGCCGTTGCACCGACCAAAGGTGCCAATTCTTGCACTGTCATGTTGGCAACCTCACGAATACTCTCAGTCTTGAGCACCAGATTCTTGATATTTTGTGGAGTCACGCCTGGGACGATGGCAAGCATATCCTGGGGCTCCTGGTTAAAGGCTTGCTCCTCAGCCCGTGTGTCTTTATCCAACCCAGCCCTAACAGCGGCAATCGGGTCTGGCTCTTCCTCCTGAGACTTGAGTGACTCAAAGATCTCGGCCGTCTGGTAAGGAGACGAGGACCAAATGATGCGTAACTTTGGAAACGCTAGAGTCAGTAATACTAACTTGGATTGGAGGTCGGATGACATGTTGGTCGGGGCAACACTGTTCAAGCTTCCAGATAAATCGGCAAATGGCTCCAGAGTGAAGGACTTGTTCTGGTCAAACTCGATGAGCAGCATCACGCTTTTGTAGTACTGAAACATAGTCTCGGCTTGACTGTAGAGCCGACCATCCTTGAATGAGGAGATCAAATCACTGATAGATTTGCGTTCTACGCAGATATTTGGTGATAGGATGTAGTCACCAACTGTGAGCATGCATGGTACAATTACCATAGAGCGGCCGTGGAGCAGAGATGGTAGAGATGATCGGAATTCTCGTACGTCTACTACAACACGTGGCGGCTCAGCTGTTGCTGCCAGCCTTCCACCACCAGCAATACGTGTGTTGACGGTACGGAGAAAAGCCTCTTCAGGATCCTCAGCCGGATCCACGGTCATGACAAGGGACATGCTTGCTCTCTCCTTGATGAGTTTCGTAAATGCATCTTTCTCTCGTCGAACGGATGACAGGTATTTCTGCTCCTCCACCGAGCCACCATAGTACATAAAGTATACCCTCACATTCCTGTCGTTATGCGATGATCGGTACACTTCAACTCGACGAATAAAAGCGGCGTCCGGCTCATACATAATTATGTATCGCGGTTTGGTTTCCTCGAGGACATGTTCGTCCTGATCTCCATCGTATGCGTGTATGACGACTAGGTCTTGCATATCATATAGTTTGAAGTATTCCTCCATGTTGTCGAGGGGATCTGCTACAACGTCTTCTTTTTGCTGTGCTTCCTCTTCTGTAAGCTGTACCTCAGCCATGAGATCAGCAACTTCTCCCGGTTTCTCGATGTACTGCATGATACTGCCATTCTCAGCACGACCCATGCTTACGCCAACATTTCCTCCGCCACGCACTCGTCGTCGCTTGTTTGCAGAAGCCTTTCCGCCTCTTGACCCTGCAAAACCTGGACGAGTGTCGGCGGCTCCATTCAGGGCCTTCTGGTTTTCAGAAAAGAGAGTGGCGCTGACCTGAGCAAATTGTCTCTTCCATTTCAAGTAGTTCCTCAACCGCCTTCGCATCATGAAAGCTGCAGAGGGCTTGTCTTCATCTTCGCCGTCCTCACTTGATCGTCTCTCTGTCTTGGGCTTGACATGCATGGTTTGTAAAAAGTCTCGCAACTGCCTACAAGTATCGGTGTTTGAGCACATGATCAGGATGGTGCCATTGGAGTCATCTCGAACTGGAGGCTCAAAGTATAGATCGCGATCAATTTCCTCCAGGACTTCAGCCAAAAGCGCCCACTTGGGTAGCTCTTCGAGAACGGGTCTTAAAGAGTCGATGTTATCTTCCCGAGCTGCATCCTTGGCACTAGCGGAATATACTCTTCGTCTTGCTGTGTCAAAAATGGTCTGAGCAGCATCAAGGAAGAGCCATGGTGATTGGGATTGTCGGGTCGATCCTGGAGGCGGAGAGTGAGCGGCATGAATGGTATCCAAATGCTGAAGGAACGAAACTGCATCATATGACAGAATAGAGTTGAGCATGGCTCTGAGGACTGTCAAATCATTCACAATCTGTTTCGTCTTCCAGCTCACACGGTGCCAGTTGGGATCTAACTGTCTTCGAACCATTACGTCAAAGTTCTTGAGAAGAGCGCTGTCGAGGTTCCAATCGTCCATTTCCAGGCCACTGTTACCTTTCTTGAGCTCATGAATACTGACTTCAACGCATTCCATAATGGCGTTTTGAATCTCGCGCATCGAGTCTGTCATAGGGACTTCGAGTTCGATAACTTCAGCCTTCTTCTTGCCTTCCAGAGATTGTGCGACAGTGACATGAAATCGAGGCCAGAGCGAGGCTTTCCGCAGAAAGAGGTTCCTCATCATAGTAGCCAATGGTGAGAAGCCGGTGGTAAAGGGGTCGGGGTTATCGGAAAAAGCCTTCAAGAATCCAATCTTGTTCTTCTGACGGTAAACTCTCAGAATGAAGGCCTCGAGGGATGTTGCGACAACGCGATCGGCATGAAGAACAATAAGACCCGTAATGGATTCGGGATTCAGCAAACCCGTGAGAAGATCCACCACTAGGATACGCGATGTGATGCTGAAGATTCCACCTTCAGAATACATCTTTTCTCTTGCGCCGACGCTTTGAAAGTCTGTGTTCACGACTGTTAGGCCACGCGCTTTCGGGGACATGCTGATGGCTGCATGTTCGGCCAATGCTTCTCCAATCCAGCCATTTTCTCGTTCATCAGCGGCGACTATAACAATTAAATTGTTTCCAGCGGCGTCATAGGAATGCAGGAGATTGTTGACAAGGCGCATCAGGCCAAGGCCGCGAGCAATAACGACAAGCTCATCTTCGGCACGAAGCTCTTGGAACAGAGTCTGCTGGTATTCCTAAAATCAATGAGCAAAGGACAATATTTAAAAGGCATTGAGACACATACGAGTGGCAGTGAAAGCTTCACTGGCTGGGGAGCATTACTTGCAGACATGCGGGCCACCCAAATGTTGGTGTTGACAGACGAGGTGTTGAAGGGGTTGAAATGATAGTCGTGAATGATGTATTGAAGATCTTGGCGGGGAGCTAGAGCCATCCATTGGCGGGGAACGTGTAAGTTGCATGGATAAGACAAACACAAAGTGAACATGATGGAAATAAATGCCGGCTGGTAATTATGGTATCCGTAGATAGTTTCCAAGATAAAATAAAAAGGATTCGTTGTCTCGTTTCATGATAATTAATATGTTGTGCTGATACTGTTTGTCGGGCTGTCTGCCAATTCCCGCCACTTCCTCGCCATTGAGATTTACCTGTAGCCTGCTTAGGACCTGGGCTGGCTCCTGATTAGATGCCATTTGTTGTGTATTCATATGAGAGCTAGTGTCGCATATAGGAACTGACATGCTGGCGAGACTACTGCAAAGCATTGCGATTGTATGCAGTTGATCGTTCCCTAGAGTATAAAGACCATAACCAAGTCCCTATTCAGTGGCCGCGCTATTTCAGAAGTCATGATAAGATAGGTACAGCTTAAACCCTTTCAATTCTTGGAACTCTCAAGACATCCCAAAGAGAAATTTATTCTATTCGTGTAGAGTGAGCATCATCTTGGATTTCTGCATTCTTTTCTCCTTCTCATTCCTGAGACCAACCTGGCCAAGTTGTGATACTTCTTCGTCCTTGATTTCCTTATTAGTGATATCCACTTACTTACACACATTGTGCACACCACAACCACCATCTCCACGTCATTGTTCAAGATTCTGCAGCGTCCTAGATGGCACCTAGCTATGCAGTGGTCTCAACAGTCGGCGGTTTTTGGAACATGGGGCCAATAAGAAGTTGTATGCATACTCTTGTGACACTTCCCTAAAGAGTTTGCGTTTCTGGCTGTCGCAACTTGCGCCACAGAATGGTCTTACGTAGTTTGGCCAGAGAAGACGACGTCATCGCCTCATGATAGGGACCAGCGACTACAAAAGGACGCTGACGACCTAGATTTGAGCAGCCACAAGATCTCGAATCAACCCAACAAGGAAGCTAGATCACGACAAAGATTTTGAATTTTCTTAAATCAATCACCAAAACAACCATCAGAATGACTGGCACCGAGCAACAGAAGGAGGTGTGTCAACTGTACTGAAGCCTTCGTTTCTAAGCCCAATACTGACGTTTTTCTCAATAGGGCGAGAAGCAATTCTCCATCCAACCCATCAAAGATGAGGCCAAGGACAAGGTCTCTGCTTTCAACGCTCACCCCGGACCCGCCGTGCCCAAGGATATGCCCCAAGAAGAGGGCACCAAGGAGGAGCGCAAGGCCAAGATGGAGGCTCTGAACAAGAAATAAGCGGTCGACTTCTGTGGCAGAAGTCACTTTGTTGACATGATTGTATGACTATACATGGATTTGGGACTGGGTTACTTTACGATTTATTTATACAACACAGAGACATCTTGCCATGACTTGCATTGGAACGTGTCGATTGCTAATCGTAGTCTCATGCTGGTATCATGGCACTGACCAACGGCAGCCTCGGAAACCCCTGCTGACACGCAGCCATCCAATATCTGCCCCTCAGCATTATTAGCCTAGATTTGGAGCCGAGACAAGACTCGTACGGCCAGACATTAGAGGTTACATGACGACTTGAAGTAATATCAGAATAGAGATCTCGGTTGACAACTGCACCAGAGGTATATGAGCATGTGTTTATGCGTTCTCTCAAGGTGCTCAGTATTTCAATCGATGGCTAGCAGAAGACTCTATCCTCATAACAGCCAAACAGCTTAGATGCCCCTAATAAGAGCTCCACTAGGCGACAGCAGTTATCTACCTACTAGGCAGGCTGCTAAACTCTGGCTGCCCAACAGTCGACCGGTGCCCTGCGAATTTTCTAGAACCTGGCAAGGTGGCTGAAGCGGTGAACAATTCGATACCTGATGCATTGTGAGTTGACCGCTTGCGTTGCATGTCACAGTCACAATTGTCGCCATAAAACCATCTCTGCGTTAAGGTAGTATACTAAGCTCCCCATCCCTCCCGCCCGCCGAAAAGCAAACTTGTCGTTCCGCTGCACAAAGACGTAGGTTGCCCCGCTCCGAGAACTACAGTATTTCGTATAGTGGCTGTGGGAGGTGTGCTTCTGCAAGTGCTCTAGCCTGTGGCTGGTGCTCACTTCTCTCGTTACGGACTGAACTCTGGCTCTTCACACATCATCCCAACCAACCAACCGCTGGCCCAGCCTGGTTTGTTCCCCACGGACGAACACCTTTTGACGTGTGACGACCATCCGTGCTCGCCTACGCCATCCGAGAGGGATCCCTTTCTTCTCAAGCCCGAAAGCTCGGGCGCTGCTCGCACACTCTCTTGGCCATATATATCTATCCGGCGACAAGAGCTTGAACCTCCGCCCCAAGATTTCGGTTGCCTCACGCGAGCGCCAAGCGATTCTGACGAAACGCTGAAAGAGGAGAGACCAGACAAGCGCCACTCCACGCGTCCAGTCCAGGCGACAACCGACGAATTCGTCTTACCTTTGGCTCATATCCTTCGTTCCTATTTCTCCGGCATATTCGATTATACGACACTGATCCAGTGATCCATACTCGATTGCGCCGTCACAATGCCATCCATTCTTAACGACGATGATAAGGATACCGTGAAGCGGTTCATCCCCAAGCAGTCCAACAAGATTCAGGCCGTTGCCGTTGCCAGACTCTACGTAGCATATCCCAATCGCTCAAAATGGACATACACCGGACTACAGGGAGCCGTTGCGCTCGTTAACGATCTAGTTGGAAATACATACTGGATCAAGATGGTGGATATTTCGGTATGCCCTCAATCCAATATCCTAATGGCTGTCTGCCACATCTAACCACCACTTGCTAACTTGTTCAGCCTTCCAATCGAGGAGTTATCTGGGACCAGGAGATCTTCGATACCTGGAACTATAACCAAGACAGAACCTTTTTTCATACCTTCGAACTCGAAGAATGCCTGGCTGGTCTGAGCTTCGTCGACGAAAAGGAGGCCAAACAGTTCAAGAAGAAAATGGATGAGCGAGAGAAGAATGCAAGCCGAGCTACAAAGTCGACGCCCTTCGGTGGAGGTGCCCAGCCGGCCCATAAGCATGGCCTGTTGGGAGGGCTATTCGGACATCGCCATTCGACTCATATCAGCTCTCAGCACACAGCTCCGACCCCTCCGGAGTCTCCTCGAATGCCACATAACTCCATCCAGCATCATGTTGTCAACTCAACGCCCAACCTCAATGGCTCAAGACCATCCGAATTCGCACTTTTAGACGCTTTCGATCCTTTGTGGCGCGAGCACTTTGGTGCAGATCTTCAAGACAAGGGTTTAACGGACGACTTCATTAAAGAAAACCAGGAGTTTATTGTAGACTTCTTGAGAGAAGAACAACAGAAGGCTAACCAGCCTCATTCGACACCGCCACCACCACCTCCTCCAGCAGCGACAGCACCATCGCCAGCGCCAACCGCGAACGGCAATGAGGGAAGAGGTTCTCGAGCGCCGCCGCCGCCGCCGCCTGGTGGTCGTCCTCAGTCAGACGGTCCTCCGGCGCCCCCGGCTCCGAGAAAAGGCGGCCCCCCACCTCCTCCAGCCCCGAGACGGTCAGGCAAAGCAGAGTCTCCGGCGAAGGATGCTGCGCCCGAACGAGCGCCGTCACCTCCTCGACCTAAGTTTGGTGTTCCTCCTCCGTTGGCCGACGCTGGCAAATTCGCACGTCAGGATCCTCCAAGGGCTGTTCCAGTAACACCCAACCCTGGACCTCCCCCTCCTCCACGACCGGCAAAGACTCCTATAGAAACACAGAAGAATGATAGTCACAAATTCGGAGTTCCTCCTCCCTTCCCTGGTTCAAGAGTACCTCCACCAACACCTAGCCGTGGGCCTGTTCCTCCTCCCCCTCCCCCTCGACCGGCCGATAATCACCCCGTGCCTGCGGCTCTTCCTCCTCCTCTGCCTCCCAAGGTACCAGCTTCTTCAGCTCCACCACTGCCGCCTCCAAGCTCCCGACCTGTTCCTCCTCCTCCGGCAGCCAACAATCACCCTCCTGCTCCACCTCCTTTACCAGCGACAAGTGCTCCTCCACCTCCTCCACTACCACCAACATCAACAAATGGTGCACCTCCTCCACCTCCTCCACCGCCTCCACCCCCAGGAGGTTCTGGTGCGCCTCCTCCACCTCCGCCTCCCATGCCGTCTGGAAGTGGTGCTCCTCCGCCTCCTCCTCTCCCTCCTGTTGCCGCAGGGGGGGGTCCTGGTCGATCAGCCATGCTGGAAGGCATCCAACGTGCCGGCGGCATTAACTCCCTCAAGAAGGTTGATCGCTCACAGATCCGCGACCGCAGTGGTGCTCAAGTCGGCAGTGGCGGCGATTCTGGCGGTGCTAGTGCCGCACCTGCAACAACTGGTGCGCCTGGTGGTGGCGGTGGCATGGCTGATGCCTTGGCTGCTGCTCTCCAGAAGAGAAAAGAAAAGGTCTCCAAGAGTGGTAAGTTTTGACATGTTTTTGTTGGTCAAGAGTAATGTGCTAACACAAGATCAGATGACGAGAGCGACAATGATGACTGGTGAACTGAACCAAGCACAAAATCCAAGAGAAGGAAGGAATGACATAGTGGACATAGTCAACAAAGGATTCTCGACTTGTTTTTTTATAAAACGTGCACTTATGGGCAATGACGATGATGGTAACGAATCATTCAGCTGCGGACGTATCTTGGTCGCGAATCAGCGCAGCAGCTGAGGTCGGATTCGCGCTATCGAATGGTTCTACTGCGTCTGTACGTACCATTTTGAGTTGGCATACAAAAATTGGTTATGTTCTATAGAAACCCATAACATTAACGAATTTTTCCAAGATTACGGAATGACTAGCCAACACAGTCGACAATAGTCAGTGTGTTGCCTTTATTGTTCACGGCATTAGTGCAAGAATCAAAAAATATTTATAAAACAATAGTAAGCATTTTCTTGTCTTGTCTAACCTGTGCTTTTGAGACGAATATGATGATCAAAAAGCGATAAGAAAAAAACATGTTCGTCCAGTAAAAACTGCGTAAAAACGGAACAAGACAGAAAACTCGATCGTGATATTGAAAGTCCAAGGGAGAATGACATGCCGTGACGTCCCTCCCACCACGGCCGTCTACGACTCCACAGCAACTACTGTCGTGGGACCCGACGCACAGAGTTTTTGGTGCTCGGCTCCGGGTTTGAGAGGGAAGACAGTATCAACAACACCAGCCGCGAAATACAGTCGTATAACGGGATAGCGTCGGGGGCTCGGTGGAGAGAGGAGGGGATTTGGAGGGCTCTGAAGAGCTTAAATATCGTCAATGTCGACCTCCTTCTTGTTACCGGCGGCGCCATCGTCGGACTCATCGTCTGAGTCAGCGTCTCCGAACTCGAAGTAGGCCTCGCCATCCTCGCCCTGACCAAACGAGTCGGTTTCGTTGATCTTGGCGTTCTCAGGAAGCTCGCCGTAGGACTTGAGGGTACGGGCTTCATCGGCAGTGTACTTGAGAATGACGTCGCCCTTGTTGTCCTGGAAGTCACGGAGAGAGAGGAGGATGATATCGCCCTGGTTAATCCAGACCTTCTTTCGCATTTTACCGCGGATCTACGAAGGAAGTGTTAGTACGAGTTGTAGAAGGAATTGTCCATCCTGCTTTCGTTGAATCGTGGCTTAGGCAGGCGAACGTGGGACTACTTACGTTGGCGAGACGCTTGCTTCCATCGAAACACAGAGCCTCGAGACGACCGTTACCGAGCATCTTCACGACCTGAGCATACTCTTGGCCATCCTCCTTGAAGGTGAGCTCGCGGCGCTGATCATCGTTCTCCTTGGTACCACGTCTGCGGTTCTTTCCACCCTGTCAAAAATCGTTAGTGATGGTTCCTTTGTTACTCTTGCGGAAGAACATGGTGGGGGCGGGGCAGGCGGTTGGCGCGTGAAAATGCGATCCGTGAAGGAAAAAGAAAGACAGTCGAGTACAGGAAGGATCTGAGGGACTTACCTTTCCCTTGTTCTTAGGCATGTTAGCGGTTTATCGGTATGTGTGAAGTGGCGAAGAGATGTGTTGGTGGGAAGAAGAAAGTTGGTGATGATGTTGTGGTGTCGTTGTTGGCCTGAGAAAGAAAGTGGATTTTTCCTGGGCTGGTTTGCTGACTGACAAAAGAGGCAGAAGATGGTTGGGCGCAAGACAGATGGGGCGACTGGCTTGTGATTCAGTGCTAGTTATTCCACGGTGAGCTAAATGTGGCGCAGCACGGATGAGTTAAAGGTAATACTGTAACCCTCAGCTTTGAAATCTAGAAAATTGAAAACTTGTAGCTTATTGGCTTAATCTGACATAGAACCATTTGATCATGAATAATTCATCTATTCTCAATTCAGAGGTTATCCTGAGGAGAAAGCATTATTGCTGCCCAAAGTTAAGTAGTTCTAACGTGACGCAGATTGATCAATTGCACAGCCGCATTTATGTGGCGTTCCTAATCGAGCATGTTAGGAAATGGTAAACTCATGAAGTCGATTTGCGCATCGCGCTTCATCATGCTTTAATTTCAACTTTCTGGCGCACTCCCTCGCAATTAGGCAATTAATGAACGACACTGAGACACCCTATACAATTCTTATTTTCGAATAAAACATCCTATCCCATCTCAACATGATAGGATCCCTTCCGACTCCTCCATTATGACAACGGCACAAGTCTCACCAGGAATCAAACTCCTGCGGTCGATACCCTCCCCCAACTACCGATCTTACTCATCAACCACACAAATATTGCACCGAAATACAAAAGGCTCTTCTCGAACAAATACCAATAGAGCAAGACAATCACCGAACCGGGACCGAACAAACGCAGACCCCAAACCACTCCGCTTCTTCATCCCACCATCAAACGACCATGTATCACCATCTGGAAGACTGAATACTACACCGGAAGTCTGGTCCTTCCTACAAGAAACAGGCATCGAGTACGACAACTCCAAGGCTACACGCCTGTATCTGGGGCCTGATGACCAAAAAGTGAAGCTACTCTTCAACTGCCTTATTCAATACTCGCCTCAATATATACTACACCCTTTCCACCTGCAACACTTAAGGCCTGGAGGAGCCCCGATGTTGCCCGTGATTATGAGCAATTACCGACGCAAGTTGGAAGAGGAGCCTCTCTGGACATACACGATATGCAGGGGAGGAAGCAGTAACGTGGTGCGAAACCTGATGGTAAAAAGGTTGACAGGCGCCTTCTGGACAGCCATGAAAGATCTCGGATATTCAATGAATGGCCCACGAGGAACGCTTATAGTGACGATCCTCGATCCCTTGAAAGTTGCCCAAGCCCCAGCTCATATTTTTGGCGAGGCTGTTGCGAAGCAACTGAAGCAAACCTGGCAAGAATACAGCCTTGAAAAAGAGAGACTTCAGTAACTGGACATACCTGAGATCCAAGACTGGATATATCGGCCCAAGGGAGCATTTTGCGGAAAATTGGTGTTTTGGATTATGGTGGCTTTCTTCAAAGGGACGTGAGGGAGTACCATTATTGATTATGGAATTTCACGGTGATTTTTGTCGGATTTGGAGCCAACGCTTTGGTAGACTCGAGAGATGGATCAGATTATTCATTTCCATTTGTGTGGTTATAAGTAACTCATGTGTGTACTTGAAATTTTGATACCAATGTTTTCGCCAATAAACTGTATATTAACATATCCAATCATGTCAAGTTGAGCATTCGGCAATGTTGGCTTGAAGGATTTGCCTAACAATAGGTAGTCTAAGAATCTTCAGACACATCCATATGCATTAATGTTCATCAGAATAAAGATAATTCAAGCCCGAATAGCTCAGTTCATCAATTCTAATCTCACAAGGGGTTCTATAAGGTACCTAACTTCCTAGTAACATGTAACATCCGATGCAAGGTGCGAGCTTTGTCCTCTAGCTCCCGAGTCCCCACAAGTGAGGTCGGAGAGCCTCACAGGGACGGGCTTGCTAGGGGCTCAGGGCATAAGCTCCAGGGGGTCTTCCCCAAATTTGCCATGGCGGCGGGGGTTACGCCCGGGAGCTCTTTGTCCTTAGTGCCCTTGTTGGCTGGCGTATGTCCTTGCTCGTGCCGCTTGTCCCAACCAAAGATTCCACGTTGACGTTCCATCCCTATCGCATTCGCAATTATCAGCAACCTTTCTCGCTTCAACCAAAAGACCTTAGCACAGATAGGCGATTTGATCAGCGCCGTCTACAGATTCTTCCTTTCAAAGATACCCTTGTTTCACTTTTTCTACTTCGCTTGCGTGATCACTTAGAGACTACCTTCGGCGTCATCACCCTTTGTTTGCTGCGACAGTCGCAACGATGCTCGTCTCTCTCACTGTCGGCAAGGTCGATGCCGGCGTCACTGTCCTCTTGACACCGGACAAGCGCTTGGTGAGATTTAACCGTCTTATCAGTTTGTGACATTTGCTAATGCAGAGGGTGTCGTTAGATCGAATTCCCATCTATCCTCCTCCCTCCCAACATCTCCTCAGGCAGCATCGTCGACATCAACGTTTCACAGAACGCGACCAAGGAAGCCGCCGCCGATCGCGCATTCCGTGCCCTCCAAGACAGTATCTACAACTCATTTGGTGCCTCTGAGCCAGCAACCCCAGTGCTGCGATGCCGCAATGCCACCCAAACCTCGGTCGTTCTTGAGTGGGATCCTATTCAGCTTGCTACCGCCGACCTTATCTCTTTGAGTCTCTACCGAAATGGCCAAAAGGCAGGAAATATCCCTCGCCCATTACAGATGCACAGCACAAAGATTAGCGGCCTTGCTGTTGATACAGAGTATACCTTCCACCTGGTCCTGCGCACAAGCGCCGGCACCTTCATCAGCGAGCGCGTCCCAGTGAGGACACACAAAATGACGGACCTAAGAGGTATTACCATTACCACCGGGATTCTGCCTAGTGCCATCAAGGACAACTTGACAAGCGCGGTTGAGCGCATCGGGGCCAAGATTGTTGATGGAGTCCGCATTGACACGACGCATTTTGTTACCACTGAGGGACGCGGGCAACAATGGGAGAAAGCTGTCGAGAGCAACATTCCCGTTGTACGTCCCGAGTGGGTTGAGGCTTGTGAGAAGAGTGGTCGCATTCTGGGCGTCACCAAATTCTATCTGGATGCTATGAAGCCTGGCCCCCCAGCCGAGGAAGCTTCACCTCCGCCACCTCCAGAGAAGGAGGAGAAGAGCCTGCCCGTGCCACCTGCTCACAACGGTGAGCAGGCATCTCAGTCGGAAGAGAAGCTGGACGAGAAGGTCAAAGAGAAAGAGGACGCGGATGCACAGAAGAACGGCGGAAAACAGAGCTCTAGCGGTAGTAGCACTGAAGACGAAGAAGAAGAAGTCGAGGTTGAGCAAAAGACGAAGACGTTGCCACAGGAGGAACAAAAGGTGCGATTCGAGGATAAAGAGGAGCAGAAGGTTGCCCTACGACCAGCCCATAATGGAGAATCAAGTAAACCCGAACAGGACGATAAGCAAGACGCGTCAGATGACGAAGCAGAGGATGAGTCAAACGCGAAGACTGCACCTACACCAGATGGGGCTTCCTTCCAAGAAGTAGAGCTATAGACCAAGAGGTGCTGCAGTTATGTGATTGAGCTTGACTTTGTTCAAAAAGGTAGCCTGTTCAGGCAGTGAGTGGACAGCGGTCACTGTCTCATGTATGGGTATGTAGGTCGGCAAGATCTTGGGAAAAGGGCAAAGCAGATACTGGTTTAATAACATATTTTTCTTACGACCAACCTCAAGCTGCATTATCTGTTGAACTCTTTTATTGCCATTCTACTGTAGTTTACGTCTTACTTATGGGAGGATCTCCTTGTTATCCCAGTCCATACACTTGCCTCGACCCTCCAGGGGGAGACCTGTCGCGATTTTCACAAGTCTGTCGACAGCGTATTCGGGGCTGAATAGTTTGCCCTCCTTTGTACTCTCCCAAAACCCCTTGCTGAGGTCTGTCTTGACCGTGCCAGGGTGGTAGGCAATGGATATGGCCTTATCGCCACTCCGCCCACGAAGAAATATGTCGTAACTCTTGCCCAGGCTGATAACTCCCGCCTTGCTCGCCCGATATGAGAACCATCCCCCAGCCCTATTATCTGACGTGGAGCCAACCCGAGCTGCCATACTGAGCCATACCGAGTGGGGAGGCATCTTTACCTCATCGCTGTCGGGGCTACCCTCGAGCTCAGAGGTCCGCCTGGGAAGAAACTTGTCGAAGTGTTTAATAAGAAGTAGAGGACCAATGGTGTTGATACGGAATTGCCCCAGACTAGCCTCGGCGTCTATCTGGTTGACATTCTTTTCGGGTTTGAGGACGCCAGGAACAGCACATGCAAGCCGCAGATGGTGCTTGTCAGGGGGGAACAGCTCGGCAGCTCTGGAAGCTGCATCAATGAGAGACTCTTCGTCTGTGGCATCCGCGTGAACGATTGAGAGGCGTTTGGTGAGACCTTCTTTCTCGGGGAGACCTTCGAGGAGTAATTTCTTCACACCTTCTGGGTCGTGTTGGAGACGAGCTGTTGCGAGGATGGGCAAGGATGTCTTCTGGAGGAGGTGTCGAGTGAGAGCATAACCAATTCCTCGGGTTGAAGGGCATACAAAGATCCAAGGCTTGCTCATGATTGGTTCACTCAAGTCGGATGTCTGAGGGCTTCCTCATGTGAGCCAAGTTTACTGAACAAGTTGGCTGTTAGAAGGATGAATGTCTGGTACGAGGAAATTTAAATCGGTGCCATTGGTAAAAGAAAATCCTGCTTGTACCTCAGACGAGCTTTATAAATAGCTAGTTGTTATTGATCTTTTATATTTCTTTTGGCAATCATTTAGCTCCATGGCATCTCATATCTTTCTTTGATGATGCGTAGACGCAGGCTCGTGTGAGGTGGGATCACCTACGTCATATAAGATCTCGCCCTGAGGGGGCCCGATCCAAGTGCAGAAGCTTGTTGCCCAACTAGGTATAAACAGAACCCTGTGATCGTGGCATTGGAACTATGTTTAAAGTGTAACAGCAGGCAGGAGGTGCCAAGAGGATGGCAGAGAACTCAGACTTTGATCCCCAAGTGGTAAGAATATTAACATAAGTTTAGGATATTTCAGGGGTAAACTTAATAGCCTCTATCTATTTTTATTTATAATTTATGATTTGTTCTTTATTTTTCACCTAATAATTTAGTCTTAAGCCATGACACTGCGAGGGACATTTCCTTGCAGGTGAGAAGCGAGCGAGGCTGATAACCTTGGATTATCGGCATGTGAGCTACGTAATATTAAACTCAGTGAAACTAAACAAGAAACTAGCTATTTTGGGCTATATACGGTACATACCAGGGAACACTCTAGACTTATCATGATAGGCGTTAGCAAGGAAAATGCACGTCGGGTGCAAGACTATACTGTAGTAACGCTGTTGAATGTAGCCAAAATCCAACGCTTCGCTCATCCTGCACAAAAACCAACCAGCCATTCCTATACCGTGGGTAAAAACAAATAAACTTTCCCATACTCTTCTCCTGTAATTGGATTATATACGCCGTCTATCAGACCACTACTCGGAAAGAGAATACAGCAATCCCTCGTCATCCATTCCAAGCGATCTTGCTTCAAAGCTTAGTCGAGATCGACCAGCTAGTTCTCTCATCAGAGGTTCGATCGTATCAAAGCCGCTCATGTCGTCGCTGACACTCCCTGCCTCAAGTTCTTCTTTGGTCCTCACAAGTTGCTCCAGAAACTCTCGTTCTGATGTCCCTGTCCGTGTCATCATACGCCCTCGGCTTGATGGCCTCATTTTAGACGTTGCTTGAAAATGCGAACGGTCATCATCAGAAATCCACCCCTTTGCCCCGCCAGGGCGTTCGTCTTGAGAGTTAGCCAGCGTGCGGTTGAGATTGTCCAATACTGGCACAAGGGCCCGGAGCCAGACATCTCCATTGCGTTCCAATCTCTTAATTCTGCGCTCCATCTCCCTGATGCGGTACTCGCGGTATGCCTCATATCGCCGCAAAACCTCCTTTTCCACGGTGGGGGTGGTGTCCTCGGTGTCTTCTTTCATCGTGACGGTCCTCCTTGCCCTGAGCCGGGGACTGGCGTTCGAGGCGGCTTCTTTTCGTTTACGCTCCTGTTCTCGAGCAGCACTCCACTCCCGACGTCGCGTAAGGGATGTTCTATCTTGTGAATCCACTTTATGAGCTGGTGATGAGTGAGCGGATTGGGGAGGCGTCGGTGACCCGTTCTGATATGAGGTTGGAGATGGGGAAATTGCTCGACTTGACATGTCGTCTTCTTGCTTAGGTACTGCTTCGTCCGATTTAGATTCCATAGCAGAGGTTAAGTCCTCTGGGTTTGTGGTCGTTTGTCTCTTTGGCGAAGCTGGGACAACCGCTGATGGGGGAGGTGATGGTTTGACACTAGCGACAACCATGATAGGGCACATGCTCTGGCGTTGGGGAGACCTGAGTGGCACTGGTGGTGGCTCTTCTGTTTTCCCTTTAGGCGACTCTTTGATAGTCTCCTGCTCAGAATCGGGCTGCGGGCCCATCGAAATAGATATCATACTGCGTCGTTTCAATGAGGCAGCTTCCATATCCTTCTTTTTCTTATCCCTAACCTTATCACGGCGACTCTGTGACAATTTGGTTTCAGGTGTCGAAGATCTCTCCTTTGCTGTTTGTTTCCTAGAACCCTGACGTTGGATACGTAGCGGGCTTTTAGTGATCACAGTAACAGAAGGTTCCTCGGTTTTCTTCGTGGATAATCGAATGCGCGATTCCCTGACTGATACTGGCCTTGCCTCAACTGGCCTGGCCTCTGCAACAACAGGATCATTCTCGCTTGTAGTCATTATGCTTTTGGAAAGCGAGGGTTGGTAAGATCCATCCTGGGAAACGGGGCGGGCAGATGAAGTAGGAACCTGATGGGCTTCTGTCTTGGTTGACTGAGACATCATAGTGTCGATCGATAGGTCGCCGAGGTGCACGAAGCGACCCCCTGTCAAGCTGGGACTCCGTGAAGGAACTCTGTCGTGATTGTTTGGGCTTCCTGCATATGTGTTCCCCTGTTCATTGCTTTGAAACCCTCGGCCCTGCTCATTAGCCTGTCTGACTTGGTCCGGAGTCACTACCCTCGGAGGAGGCGTTGCCAAAACGTTCAAATGCTCCGGTGCCGTACTTTGGCTACTGCTATTAATAGGCGCCAGAGTATAGTGTCCATTGGTCGATAGGTTTGGGGGTTTTTGGGGGATGGTAGATAGGAGAAGCTGAGAGTTTGCCGGGCTCACCGAAGGCGATGACTCCCTGTCCTCAGTGACGGTCCGTAGCACTGTCACGACGCCTTTGTCGTTCAAGACTGCTCTGGTAGGAGCATACTGGGAAGTGAGAGGCTTCACACTCCGGTGCTGGTATATAGGATACTGGGACCTGGGAGTTCGACCAAACGGCGAGGCGTCCAAGGGGATGGAAATTGCAATATGTCGATGTCCGCCTATCGTTGTGCCTGAGACAGCTGAGTCTGGAAGTCTAATGGTCTGGGGCGCCTTGGAGAGTGATTTACTCCTCTTTCCCAACTTTCGGAGCCTGTACCATCGCCCCCTTTCCTCCGGGGAAATCCCATCAGGGATAGACATAAAGTTACCTGAGGGAGGACTGTGGTTCCTCAGAAAGTCAATGAGCTCTGCAAGGCCATCATGCGGTTCCCCGTCTTCCTCCTGCTGCTGATCGATGAAGGTGTCGTCGTGAAAATGCAAGTCCTTGTCCTTTTCGGAACCACCTAGCAAATTTGATGCAGATTTTGCTCTTGGCCGGGTACGTGCTTGGGTCTGGGTTTGAGAACCTGGCCTTTGCAGATGCTGATACGAAAACCGATTTGTATTGGGGACAGTGGACGCAGACACAGATGCAGACGAAGTGAAAGCTTGGGAAATTGTTGTGCGAGGACAAGAAGCGCCACTGCCCGACTTGACAGAGGCCTCAGGATCAAGGCCAATAACCTGAGCCATGCCGGGCCAACTTAACAACTGATACAGGACATGGGATGGGCTTATACGCTTTTGCGCAACGATGCACTTGCATCCATGAAAGACAGGCCTGAGCTAGGTAGACGTGTCAGTTGAGTATTCACGGGACATGGTATGTACACGAGGGAATCTCTCAAATAAGTCTCACCTTTTGGCTGTCTTTCGGGGCTTTTCTCGTGTCCTCCCTTGGATGGAGATTAGGAGGCGGGTGGTTGCAAACCGGTGACCCGAGTGGTAGTAGGTATGATAGGTACAGGAGGTAGTCTGTGTCACCGCGAATACATATATCTTACACTGGGCGTTGACAGCCACAAAACAAGGCCAAGATTGTGACAAAGATGAGAAATTGAGAAGTGATGGTGTTGAAAAGAAGAAGAAATTACATGTTCTGCGGGTGACGCCTCATCCCACTCTCCCCCCCCCCCCCCCCCCCAGTTCAGCCCAGTTCAACCTGGTCAATCCCCGTCCAGGGACCTTCCCAACCGCGTCAGAGCAGACAAACAACAAGAGCAGGAGCATCAGAGAGGTCCTAGAGCCCATGTATGCCGTCACTCTCCATAAAACCCTGGAGCGCCACCAAGGCCAAGTGCCGCTATTTAGTCTTAGCTCAGGATCCGAAAGCTAATTATGCCCGTTGGATTTAATGGAGTGGAAACGTCTTCGCTAATTCCCCAATCAGAGCCTCTAAAGCACAGATTCACCAAAAGGGAGATCGTGCTCTCCTTTGTGCTAGCTCAACTCATCTCCATTATCTGCTGGGTCCCTTTCTGATGTTGTAATTACGACTCTTTCGCGATACGGCACGACAACCCGGTTGTTCGGGATGTCAACCAAGATCGGCGCAGAAATAGTTTCATTTGTCAAACTATCCCTAGTCATATTTGCGCTGGAGATCTCATTTTCCTAACCGTTAGTTAGCTTCGTTTCCGTCACTTTTTCTCTTTGCTTTTTCTGTTGTCGCGGTATTGTTCTTTATGCATGTATGTCTCTTCGTCGACCACCAGAAGTGATGCACATACAAGTGGACAGATCTTTGAATCCCAGCCGCTCGCAAACTTTGCCCTTGAAAAAGAAATAATCCACAGTAATTGGTTGCCGAAAGTCATCGGCCAGTGGTTGCAGCTGGCTGGCTGGCTCGCTGGCTGTCGTCACCACTGTGAGTTGTGTTACCATCTCAGGTATCTCAGGTGGTTCACAAGAGATAGAGGTATGCGCAGAAAAATAACATCATGGCCACTTTTCAACCAAGCATCAGCTGAAAAACTAAGCCATGTTCGCATTGTTTTGTCCTGAACTTTGGGCGACTTGTTGAACCACCACTTACGTATGCACCAATCTTCAAACTGTGCGGTAGCCAGGCGATAACAGAGAACTCAACACTTCATCATCAATCCTACCCTAGATGCTAAAAAATACTTGAACACGTTTAGGATGAACTTAGTTGGCTCTTTGACTAGTTTATTCTTGCTCCCTTTTCAGAGTCTTGAGTCTTCTGACATCTAATCCCGAGGAGTAGCTCCCTGATCCAACAACCCACAAACATTTCACTCAACCCCGAGAGGGTGGTAGCCATCTCTTTTCAGCTCACAGGGTTCTTCCTTCAGGTCGTTACAACCGCCAAAAGCCTTTCCGAGCGCCACTGCTGATCTCCTCTGTAGGAGACCGCTAGTGCCATCACTGTGCCAAGTTACCAACTGTTACCCAGAGGATATGATGTGTGTGCCTACTGATCATTATCTCCAGACTCTAGCGTCATTCCCTGCTCTCTGTGGTCTTGGCATTGATTCAATCTGAGCTGAATTGACCCTCTTTGGAAAAGCCAAAAGGCCACTGTCGTCAATAATACCTCCATCACCATTTGCTTTTACATCATAGCAC